TTCCTTTTGGAGTTAAGACACTGCAACTGACCAGCATTAATGTTAAAATAGAGACCATAAGACTGACAAAATTGACTCTTTGTGCAATGAGATACTAAATTACAAACAGGACCTAAGGCCATGCAAGGCAAAGGTTAAGTGATGCCTGCAGGCCATCAATTTGCTCAACAGATCACTTTGAGTCTGTATATTGCCTTGCTCTGTGATTAACAGGCTTCCCTATCTTAAAACATTTCTTTCTACTATTGCTCTATGTTAACAGACTTCCTTATCTTAAAACCTCCTTCTACTGATTCTGAGCCTTTAGAACAAAGTTTTATTTCTATCTTTTTTCTATCCGGTAGTCTGTGGGGAAGGCAAATCCCGGACGAGCCCCCAAATGTTAGGGACCGACCTTCCACAGCCCCACCGGACAGAAAAGCAGAGACATTGAGGATGCAATCACACAAGAGGAGGTTTCTTTTCTGGCTAGCCAGGGTCTAAGCCCCAGAGCACCAACGCAGTGGCCACTCTCGCAGGCAAGGACCCCGACCTGAATTGCGGGGTGCCTTTTATCCCCCCCCCCAAAGGGCCCTAGCAACGCACAAACTAATTATGCGCTGGTCATGAGCTGACCTTTGACGTGATTAATTTTCTTTGTATTTTGTGCGATCCCTGCGCATCCCACCTCCCTTTTGCCTTTCTTCACAACCCAAGAGATAACCGGAGGTATGAGTATAAACAGATGTGTGCTGTTCGCTAATTGCCTCACCCTACTTCACACGAAGGGGGGGGGGAAACTCTTTTCTTGTTGTGCCACTGAGACACCGCCGAGGCTCCATCGAGGCGCCCCCACACTCCAACTGTGCTGTGACCACCTACTAGGCTTTCCACCCTAACGGCACTTATGCCTGCATTGAAATCCCCTGTTAATTTGGGGTCGTGACCCTAGCACTACTCCCTTCTGAAGCTTTGGGGGCAGCTTCGGAGCACATACTTTGGAGCACCATGGATGCCACATTGGGCCAACAGTCAATATGGCACAGTCTGTGTTCAGTGTCCGTAAGTGGTGTTGTCAGGCAGGGACCATGGCAGAACTGTTGGGGAGCTTCCCTGTGGGAGTAGCCATCTTGGAAGAGCATCCATTCTATACAGGATGTAAAGTAAAAATAAAATCCTAAGCACCCCTCTTGACTGAGCAGGCGCCCTCTTGGTCAAGGGGAGCCTAGAAAAACGTTAAAACTGAATTCCTGGCCAAGATGGATAGGGAGGCCAGACACACCTCCTTATTACCTCCTTCCTTTTGGAGTTAAGACACTGCAACTGACCAGCATTAATGTTAAAATAGAGACCATAAGACTGACAAAATTGACTCTTTGTGGCAATGAGATACTAAATTACAAACAGGACCTAAGGCCATGCAAGGCAAAGGTTAAGTGATGCCTGCAGGCCATCAATTTGCTCAACAGATCACTTTGAGTCTGTATATTGTGCCTTGCTCTGTGATTAACAGGCTTCCCTATCTTAAAACATTTCTTTCTACTATTGCTCTATGATTAACAGACTTCCTTATCTTAAAACCTTCCTTTCTACTGATTCTGAGCCTTTAGACAAAGTTTTATTTCTTTAACCAACTCAAATCAAAGAATCTCTAAATATACTTATAACCTGTAAGCCCCTGATTTGAGATGTCTTGCCTTTTGGGGCCAAACCAATATACTTTCCATGTATTTGTCAGGGTGGCAGTCTGCCCTTGGTTCTTGATGTGCTCTTGGCCAAAGAATGACCAAACACACCAAAGTGTCAAGTCCAGACCATTACCCTGGTCCTCAGGCTCCTTTCTTCAAAACATCATCAGCAGGGCCAATGTGTGTGATGGAGTAACTTCAGGCAGGAAGCAGTTTCACAAGAGCAGCTCTTTATTATAAAACAAAACTGGTCTCTGCAAGTGGAGAGAGACAAACGAACCCACTATCTCCCTGACTTCTTGGATTGTTTCCTTTTATTAGCCCAGTCCAGGGGAGGGTTCTTGGGAGGTGTGGGATGTTATCAAATGATCAACAGGTGTCCTTAAAATCCCATCTGGGTATATGAGCTCTCTCTCCAAAAGCCCACCTGGAAGGGTCACCCACAATGCAGATTCAAGCTAATAGCATGATAATTACCCTTAGGTTACTCCAGGTCACTTTCTAAATCCATCATGCCTAGGCTGGTGCATTCCCAGGTTGATAAAACACTCCCTCCTTCCCCAGGCCTAGCAGTTGTTCCAGATAGGATTAAGGGTGGGATGCCACCAGAATGGAGTGCCCACCCTATCCTTCTTCTGGAGCAACTGCTCAAGACAGCACCAAAGCAGGGCACCCTTGTCCCTAGAAGGGATGGAGTTCCTAACTATCTACCTATTTATTTATGATTTAAACTGTAAGTCCTATCTCCCTAAAATGTATACAACGAAACTGTAACCCAGCCAACTCAGGACCACTTACTCAAGGCTTCTCGGGTTTATGGATCCTTGGGCCATGGCCACTCATATAGGCTCAGAATAAACCCCTTTAAAATTATTTTACAGAGTTTTTTTTTTTTTTTTTTTTCAGGAAGCCTCCAGAAGGAACCAGCCCTGAAAAAAAAAGCCTTGCTTGTTTTACCAAAGTGGTCAGGGATCAAGGGTGTTGGCCTTACTCTAGGCAGGAGTAGGGGGTGTTTGGATGAGGGCTATAGAGATTTGTGGTGTTTATAGAAGCTGAGGTGCCCCTCAGCTTATGGCACAGGGACAAGGCAGAGAAATGATCTCCTAAGAGATACAACTGTGTGAGAGGTAAAAATTCAGGATGGAATTATCCTCTTCTGAGTTATACCAGGGAGGTACAATAAGCTACTGGGAGATACCACTGGAAAAGAAGGGGGAATGTTAGGGTGATATATTTCCCTACAGGTAAATAATAATTTTGGTACAGTCCCCATGTGGGCATTGGGGGAGAGAGAGGAGACGTCAGAGTAGTAAAGTCTCACCCCTGAGTGCTACCACAGAGAGATGGAAGAAAAATTCCTGGTGGAGGGGAAGCAAACAACCTCTAGGAATCTTAGCGGCATGTCTACTATTCATCAAGCATTTGCTGTCTGCATGCATAGTTCTAAGTACTTTACCTCTATTAATTCATTTATTTCTTGAGGTATCTGGACATTGAGACACAGCTACAATGGCTTTCCCCAAATCCAGGCTAGAAAGAAATATACCCAGGTTTTTGTCCAATACTTGCATATGGTTTCATTTTTACATTTAGACCTCTGATCCATTTGGAGTTTGTTCCTGTGTACCCAATGGAACTGTTGGTGTACCCAATTTAAACTGTTTCTAAATGGCTATGTCTAGTGGGTTGGTGTCTCCCAAAAAGATATGTCCCCAGAACATGTGACTATGACCTTATTTAGGAAAGGATCTTTGCATATGTGATTAAGAATCTTGAGATGAGATCATCCCAGATTAAGCCAGTGGGCCTTAAATCCAATGACAAATGTCCTTATAATGGACAGAAGAGGAGAAAGAAACAGAGAAGGTAATGTGAAGACAGAGGCAGAGATAAATCTACAAATCAAGGAATACTAAGGATTGTTGGAGCCACTGGAAGCTAGGAGAGAGGCACAGAGTAGGAGAGAGACATAGAATAGATTCTCCCCCACAGCCTCCAGAAGGAACCAGCCCTGATGACACCTTAATTTGGGACTTATTCTCCAGAACTGTGAGAGTAGATTTCTTTTGTTTTAAGTCACCCAGCTTGTGGTAACTTGTTACTGTAGTCCTGGGAAATGAATGTACTACTTATTTAAAAGTTCATCTTTGCCCTTATGATTTGAGATGCTATTTCAATCATATAAAAATTTTCTTCTAGGCCAGATGCAGTGGCTCACACCCACTGCACTGCAGCCTGGGTGACAGAGCAAGACCCTGTCTCTAAATAAATAAATAAGGGCAAATGACCTTAACAAACACTTCTCAAAAGTAAACATACAAATGACCAACAGGTTCATGAAAGAAAATGCTCAGCATCATTAATGATTAGAGAAATACAAATTAAAACCACAGTGAGATATCACCTCACACCTGTTAGAGTGGCTTTTATTAAAAAGATAAAAAAAAATAATGTGTTGGCAATAATACAGAAAAAGGGAGCCCTTGAACATTATTGGTGGGAATGTAAAATTACAGTCATTATGGAAAACAGTACAGAGGTTCCTCAAAATAACTAAAAATATAACTACCATATGATCCAGAAATCCCACTTCTGGGAATATATCCAAAGGAATTGAAATCAATATGTTGAGGAGATGTCTATGCTCCCACGTTTATTGCAGCACTATTCACAATAGCCAAGATATGGAATCAACCTGTCTGTCAGTGCATAAATGGATAAAGAAATGGATATTCAGCCTTAAAAAAGAATGAAATTTTGTCATTTGGGACAATATGGATGGATCTAGGGGACATTACACTAAGCAAAATAAGCCAGGCATAAAAAGACAAATACCATACAATTTCACTTATATGTGGAATAAAAAAAATGAATTCATAGAAGTAGAGATTAGAATGATGGCTACCAGGGGCTAGAGGTGGGAAAGTGAGGGAATGAGGAGTTACTAGTCAAAGAGTACAAAGTTTCAGGTAGACAGAGGAATATGTTTTGAGAAGGACTGCACAGCAGGGGAACTATAGTCAATAATAATATATTTTATATTTCAAAATAAGTAAGAGTAAATTTCAAATATATCACCACAAAAAAAATGTCAAGTAAGTGAGGCTGTCACTTACTTGCTCATTCACATGGATATGTGAATTAGCTTGATTTAATCACTTCACATTGTGTACATATATCCATATATCACATTGTACTCCATAAATGTAATACAATTAGGATTTGTCAATTAAAAATATTAATAGTTGAGCATGGTGGCTCACACCTGTAATCCCAGCACTTTGGGAGGCCAAGTCGGGAGGATCACTGGAAGTCAAGAGTTCAAGACCAGCCTGAACAAGAGCAAGACACCATCTCTACAAAAAGAAAAAAAAAGAAAGAAAAAATTAGCTGAATGTGGTGGCACGTGCCTGTAGTCCCAGCTACTCAGAAGGCTGAGGTAGGAGGATCACTTGAGCCCAGGAGTTTGAGGTTGCAGTGAGCTATGATGATGCCACTGCACTCTAGCCCTGGCAACAGAGCAAGACCATGTCTCAAAATAATAATAATAATAATATTAAAAAGAACAGAATAATCCCAGCATGATAAACTACAGTCTTGATTTTAGGTGATATAACGGGACTTGAAAAGAAAGGACATTTAAAGACTTCCATGAAGAGAAGGGTAGAAATTCTAGAGTGAATAGCCAGCAAATATATTAATATCCAGAAGAATTTAGGAGGTGAGAAAATTTTCTGATTTAGACAGTAACAATTCCATTTACTAATATATTGAAATGAAGGAATTGAACAGGAATTTAATGAGAAATGTCATTTTACATAAGTAAATAGAGTACCACAGCACAGTTATAACGCAAGGACTAAAGGTACAGTAAGGTCCTCCATACCCATAGGTACTGCATCTGTGGATTCAACCAACTGAAGATCAAAAATATTCAACAAAAAGATGGATAGTTGTATCAATCCTGAACATGTACAGACTTTTTCTCTTGTCATTATTCCTTAAACAATACAGTATAACAACTATTTATATAACATTTACATTGTATTAGGTATTATAAGTAATCTAGAGATGGTTTAAAGTATACAGGAGAATGTGTGTATCCAAATCTTACACCATTTTATATCAGGGACTTGAGCACCTGCAGATTTTGGCATCTGGGGGTGGGGGAGGGTCCTGGAACCAATCCCCAGCAGATACTAAGGGCCAACTGTAGATAAATCAATAGAATAGGAAAACAAAACACGTGTTCAGAATGTATGGAAGACTCCTTTACGGAAGATAGTCTGTAAAGGGGAGAGCAGAAGACAGTATACATGGCCCTAGCTAAGGGCCCTTCAGCTAGAGGGAATGGAGGAAGAAAAGACTGTAAAGATAAGAAAACGAGGTATACATCAACGAGAAAAAGAACGATCTGTGGTTAGAAATGAATATAACAATAGGAACAAGCAATTTACAAAAGAACATCCCACATGGATAACAAATATAATGAAAAGTTCAGCGTAGCTAATTATATCACAAATGGAACGAGAGCATGAACACCACAATGTGAGCAGATGGGCTGAGACCTAGGGTAGTGAGGAAGCGCACAGATTCTGATGGCTATGTTGACAGACATGAAACGATATGAGGCTGGTTGTAGGTGACGGTTCTGAAAAGCTGGAGAGGAAATGAAATGAAAGGGGATTAAGCAGGAACAAGAGTGAGACACGATGATTTTGAAAGGAGGCAGATCCACAAAAACATGAATACATAAGACCTGAATCTAAGACCATAGGGGAAGGCAGGATAGAAAAAGCATAAAATATTAGGGAAGGAGAAAACAATCAAGAAAGGAAGGTCCTTGCAGGAGCAGCTTGGCATGTGATCTAGAGTACAAGAAGGGGAGAGAGGAGGCAGATCACTCTCCTGCCAAAAAGCCAAGCAGACAATTGATATTGGCAAAGGTCATACTTAGAGATGGTATTTAGGTATCTGATGGGCTAATGCCGATGATCTCCAAGCAAGTCCAAAAGTTTAGAAGTATCAAGATGGGTTATCTTTAGTGTTCAAAGACATCAGTCTCTCCTAGTGACATTTACTTCCACGTCCCCATCTGTCGAGATCACTCACTCACCTGAACTGTTCTGGTGTGGGGCTTCCCCCTCCAGTGTCCACAGCCCCTCCTCTTGCTGCAGCTGGAAGACGGCCTCTGGCTTGGGAACTCGATACCCTGTTAACAGGACATGATACAGGATTGGGTCTAGCTGATTGGGTTTCAGGGGCCTTTCAATGACACTTTCCATTTGCTCTTCAGAAGAGTAACCATGTTTCACTAGAAGCAGAATAACATTCGCAGAGGTGAAAAGGGACTGAGGAATTCCAGACAAATCAAGGATGACACCAGCACACACTTCCGATGTCGGGCAGCACTCAGCAGCTGAGATTGGAAACACCCTCACTGGAGCCCCTCGCAGATGCGCAGGATGGCTGTGCTTACCCACTGAGAGCAGGTGGATGTAGTTCTCCAGTGTCACATCCCAGTATAGGCGTCTCTGAGCAGGGTCCAAGTGCTGCCACTCCTCCCTGCTGAAGTCCACAGTCACATCCTCAAATGACACTGGTACCTGTAACAACACAATCCTGTTCAAGGCAGCATGGTCAGCACTGGAGGATGGAAGATAGATGGGAAGTTGTTTCTCATGCTTTTTCACCACAATGTGAATAGGCATATGGTATGCCTATTAAATACCTAACATTGTGTAGGAAAATATCTCATGAAAAATTTCCCTATTCATTCTATGTTAAATTTAATTGGCAAATCCATGTCTCCACTCAATCTCAAGCTTTCATCTAGTTTTGAACATAGAAAATACAGTTATAGTAACTGCTTAAATGTCCTTGTCTACTAATTCTATTATCTCTGTCCTTTCTGGATCAGTTTTGATAGATTTTTCTCTTCATTATGGGCCGTATTTTCCTGCCTGGTAATTTCTTATTGGATGACAGACATTGTCAATTTTACCTTTTTGAGTCCTGAATATATTTGTATTCCTATAAATATTCTTGAGCTTTGCTCTGGGATGCAGTTAAGTTACTTGGAAACAGGTTAATCCTTTCAGGTCATAGTTTTAAGCTTTATTAGGTGGGACGGCCTCCAGAACTATTAGAAGTAAATTTCTTTTCTTTATAAATTACCTAGTGTCTGGTATTCTGTTATATTGACACAAAACAGACTAAGACAGGAAATTTGCACACAGAATAGGAACAGATGATATTAATAAAATATTGGGCCGGGCGCAGTGGCTCACGCCTATAATCCTAGCACTCTGGGGGGCCGAGGCAGGAGGATTGCTTGAGGCCAGGAGTTTGAGACCAGCCTGAGCAAGAGTGAGACTCTGTCTCTACTAAAAATAGAAAAAAATTAGCCAGTCAACTAAAAATAGAAACAAAAAATTAGCCAGCAGTGGTGGCTTGCACCTGTAGTCCCAGCTACTTGGGAGGCTGAGGCAGGAGGATCACTTGAGCCCAGGAGTTAGAGGTTGCTGTGAGCTAGGCTGATGCCATGGTATTCACTTTAGCCCGGGTGACAAAGTGAGACTCTGTCTCAAAAAAAAAAAAAAAAGAGGAAGTATTGTTGGCTGGGCACAGTGACTCACACCTGTAATCCCTAGCACTCTGGGAGGCTGAAGCAGGAAGATCCCTTGAGCTCAGGAGTTTGAGACCAGCCTGAGCAAGAGTGAGGCCTTGGCTCCACTAAAAACAGAAAAAGGGTGTTGAATTTTGTCAAAAGCCTTTTCTGCATCTATTGAAAGAATCATGTGGTCTTTGTTTTTGCTTCTGTTTATGTGGTGAATTGCATTTATAGATTTACGTATGTTGAACCATACGTGTGGTGAATTGCATTTATAGATTTACGTATGATGAAGCCCACTTGGTTGTGATGGATTATTTTTTTGATAAGCATCTGGATTCGGTTAGCTAAGATTTGTTGAAAATTTTGCATCTATGTTCATTAGGATATTGGTCTGTAGTTTCTTTTTGTTGCATCTTCCGTTTTTGGTATCAGAGTAAATTCGCTTCATAAAAGGTGTCAGGGAGGTTTTCATTCTTCACGATGTTGTGGAAGAGTTTCCGCAAGATAGGTACTAGTTCTTCTTTGTAAGTGTGGTAAAATTCGAGTGTGAAACCATCTGGACCGGGACTTTTCTTTATAGGGAGATTTTTAATCGCTGTTTCTATTTCAGATCTTGCGATTGGTCTGTACAGGATATCTATTTCTTCCTGGTTGAGCCTAGGAGGCTGGTGTGTTCTAGAAATTTGGTCCATTCCTCACATTTTCAGTTGTGTGCATAAAGATTTTGTAGTATTCATAATTATATCTTGTATCTCTTTGGGATCAGTTGTATATCTCCTTTTTGTTCCCTGATGGAGCTTATAGTAGATTCTCTTTCGCTTTTCGTTAGCTTAGCCAATGGTGTGTCAATTTTGTTTATTTTTCAAAGAACCAACTTTTGTTTTATTAATCTCCTGAATAGCTTCCCTGTTTTCAATTTCATTAGTTCTGATTGATCTTGTTGATTCACTTCTTCTGCTGGGTTGGGGTTGGTCTGTTCTTTTCCATCTTTGAGTCGTTTCGTTAGATGTCTATTTTGATCTTTTGACTTTGGTTTATGGCATTTATGGGAAAAACTTTCCTCTCAGAATGCTTTAGCTGTCCAGAGAATTTGATAATGCTCTCCATTGTCATTTTCTTCATAGAATTTTAAATCCATCTTGATTTCTTCTTTATGAAGTAATCATTTAGTAGGAGGTTGTCTAATTTCCATGTTTTTGTGTAGAAATGTGAATTTCAGTTAGGGTTGATTTCTACTTTTCTTCCACTGTGATCTGAGAAGATACATGGTATGATCAATTTTAAATTCTTGGTTTATTTTTTTTTTTTTTTGAGACAGAGTCTCACTTTTGCCCAGGCTAGAGTGATGCGGTGCATCAGCCTGGCTCACAGCACCTCAATCTCCGGGGCTCAGCGATCCTTCTGCCTCAGCTCCGAGTATGGACTACAGGCATGTGCCACCATGCCCGGCTATTTTTTTTTTGTATATATTTTATGTGCAATTAATTCTTTTCTATTTTGGTAGAGACGGGGTCTCGCTCAGGCTGTTTGAACTCCTGACCTTGAGCAATCCGCCTGCCTCGGCCTCCCAAAGTGCTAGGATTACAGGCGTGAGCCACCGCGCCCGGCTAGGTTTACTTTGTGTCCTAGGATATGGTCAATCTTAGAGAATGTTCAGTGAGCTGACGAGAAGAACATATATTCAGTGGATTTGGGGTAGAATGTCCTCTAAATGTCAGTCAGACCCAATTTCTATAGTTTTTAAGTCCATTATTTCTTTATTAATTTCTGTTTGGAGGATCTGTCTTGTGCCGTCAGTGGGGTGTTGAAATCTCCGGTGATTATGGAGTTACTATTAATCAATTTGCTTAGAGCTAGTAAGGTTTGCTTTATGAATCTGGGTGCACCTAAAGTTAGTGCATATATATTTAAAATTGTTATTCTTCTTATTGAACTGTGCCCTTCACCATTATATAATGACCTCTTTGTCTTCACTACTTTTGTGGTTTAAAAACAAATGTGGCCGGCGCTGTGGCTACGCTGTAATCCTAGCTCTGGGAGCGCGAGCGGGTGGATTGGTCAAGGTCAGAGTTCAAAACCAGCCTGAGCAAGAGCGGAGACCCCGTCTCTACTATAAATAGAAAGAAATTAATTGGCCAACTGATATAATTATATATAAAAAATTAGCCGGCATAGTGGGCATGCCTGTAGTCCCAGCTACTCGGAGTAGGCAGAAGGATCACTGCAGCCCAGATTTGAGTTGCTGTGAGCTAGGCTGACGCCACGGCACTCACTCTAGCCTGGACAAAAAGCAGACTGTCTCAAAAAAAAAAAAAAAAAAAAAAAAAAAAACTAAATTGGCTGAAATTAGAAACTGCCACCAGCCTTCTTTGGCTTCCCACTTGCTGATACTGATCTCCACCCTTTTACTTTAGTCTAATGCATCCTTGCAGGTTAAATGCTTTCCTGAAGACAAGCATATACTTGGCCTGTTTTCTTATCGATTCAGCCAGCCTATGTCTCTGAGTGAAGTTTAAGCCATTCACATTTAATTGAGAGACTGATAGGTAAGGTAGATTATGTTCATTCTGTTGGGTTGGATGTTATTGCTTTGATTTTCTCTCTGACCTTGTATATCTGGCCTTTAATCTTGTTTTGGTGTTTTATATTCAGAGTTTTTATTATGGTTTCGTGCCGTAACACTGTTAGTACTTCTTGTAGGGCTGTTCTGTTTTGGTGAATTCTCTGAACTTTGCTTATTAGGAATGTCTTTATTTTTCTTATATACGAAGCTTGAGTTTTGCAGGGAATCAGATTCTAGGCTGGGCATTGTTTTGTTTCAGAAGAGTAAGAATGGGGCCCCAGTCTCTCCTTGCTTGTAAAGTCTTAGTACAGAAGTCTGGTGTTATTCGAATTGGCGTTCCCTTGTATGTTACTTGCTTCTTTCATCTTACAGCTCTTAGAAGGGCCTCTTTAGTTGATATTTTGGTCAGTCTTATGACTGCATGTCGTGACTTCTTCCTGTTTGCATTGAATCTCCCAGGGTCCTCTGAGCTTCTTGAACTTGTATATCGAGATTTTTAGCAAGGCCTGGGAAATTTTCCTCTATTATATCTTCAAATAGCCTGTCCAACCCTTGAGTGTTGTCTTCTTCCCCTTCTGGTAACCCTATGACCCTCACATTAGGCTTCTTCACATAATCCCACATCTCTTGTAGGCTTTGCTCTTTTCTCTCATTTCTCTGCTGTATTTCTGTGACTGATTTATTTAATTGGAGGGTGTTATCTTCAATCTCTGAGATTCTTTCTTCTGTTTTATCTACCCCATTCTTGAGGCTTTTCATTGAATTTTGTAGTTCCCTGAATTGATTCTTCATTTCCAGGCTTTCGGTTAAACTTTTCTTCATTGTGTCGATTTCTTTAGTGAACTTTTTTTCCAGGTCCTGGAGCCTTTTTGTGGTTTCTTTGTGTTGGTTATTAGTTGTTCTTGCAGGTCATTGAATTTTCTTATGATCCACATTCGGAATTCCTCTTCTGTCATTTTGGTGCCTGATTTTGTTTGGTGTCCATTTCTAGGGGGCTGGTGCTCTTCTTTAGGGGTGTGTTTTCTGTTTGGTTCTTCATATTTCCAGAGTTCCTTTGCTGATTTCTTCCCATGTCAATCAGTTGTTGTTTCTTTCTTTAGGTTTTTGTTTGGGTATTCACACGCCTTGTTTAGTTTCTGAGCCGGTAGGTGGTATCTGTAGGTGAGATTTGACCACTTCCTGTATAAGGAGTCAGTGGGTGCCGTGAAAAGGTGTGTAGGATGTCCTCCCTGTCAGTAGATGGCACTTGCTTGGAGGAAGAGGCTACACTGTTGTTTTTGTGTCCTGTTATCAGCTCTTGTTCCTCTAGAGAGGCACTCTCTAGAGGTGGTGCCTCAGGTGTTCGGTGGGGCCCTGGGACTTCCAGGTGTGTCCTTTTCTCCCCCTTAGTGAGGGTTGGTCTAGGAGAGAGTCTGGGCGGAGCTGGGCTGGGTAAGCCTGCCCTCAGGTACCACCAATGTCGTTAGCAGGGGTCAAATTTCTGTTCTCTGCTTCCAAGAAAAGCTGTCAGGGAGGGGCTGGAATGGCCCCACTCAATCAGAATATCTGTGCGTGGGGTGGGGCTGTCTGAGACCCGCAGTCTGCAGCGGGCCTCGCTTCTTTCCACCCTCCCTAACTCCGCAGCTACTCCAGGGCCTCTGCCAGCAGGCCAGACCACATGCCACCAGGCCACCCCTGACTGATGCCGGTGGGTATGTTCCCTGTGCAGCGTTGCCACCTGGGCTGGGCGCACGGCCTCCCTTTGGGAGGAGGGTTGCCCTCTAGGATGCTGATCTGCCCTGAAGGCACACATACCTCAGTAGGCTGTTCACGTATTTCCCTTCTGTGCCCCGGGCAATGCGAGACCCTTGGTGCATGGGATCTGGTCTGCAGGTCTGACCTCTGGGTCCCAGAGTTCAAACTATATCCCCACCAAGGAGAGAAGTGCCAATCCCAATTCGCCCACAGGGAGCCCAAGCTGGGTCTATGTCTCTCAGCCTCAGGGTCTGCCCCGTTCTCCTGGGATCACCATGCCAGCAGCCCCTGGGAGGGCTGGTGGGTAGGGAGCTCACAGTCTGAGTTCCCCTCAGTCAGCTGTAGGGCCCCAAAAGTGAAGGTCCCGTTCCCTGGAGGTGCCTCCAGCTGGTGGCTATATTGTCTCTTTGGGTAGTTGCGGGTAGGGTCGGCGGAGGGGAGAATGAGGCAATATGGTACCTGCTGCGCGGCTTGGATCTGTGCACACGGAGGTGCCCCATGGGAGTTGGGAGCCTGGTGCCACGTCCGCTACTGGCTTGCCGCTCATTGCCGGTGGCCGTCTCTGGGCTGGTGTCCGCAGGTCTTTCCACTCGCTGGGGAGTCCACCAGCAGTCCGAGATGCAGGGGAGGGGAAAGGTGATCCATCCACCTACCCTTTTCGCTGGTCTCCGGGCTGCTCCGGCGGTCTCAGCTTCCATTTCTCCTCCGTAACCTCCTCCCCTGGAGTCTCCCGTGGTCTCAGGTACTCCTCCTTCTGACTCTCATCCACTGTATGCTCGTCTTCTTGCTTCTTTCTTCTAATTTCTGCTAGAATCTGTCTTTTCTGCAGAGACACTCTGTCTGGCAGTGTTTCTCGTCCGCCATCTTTATTCCCCCCCTAAAAGTTAATTTTTAAGAAAAAAGAAAACAAACACAGAAAGGGCTATCACACAGTCTAAAACTGGACTAAAATTACATGTATAACTAATTCCTCTTATAATTTTAATCTATCTGTGGTTCAAGCAGCATCAAAAGGCTGCTGTTCTGGACTGAATGTGCCCCCTGAAATTCATGTGTTGAAATCCTAACCCTCAATGTGATGATATTAGGAAGTGGGGGCTTTGCTCGTGAGGCAGACCCCTCACGAATGAGATCAGGGTCTTTAAAAGAAAAGACACAACAGGCTGGGTGTAGTAGCTCATGCCTGTAATCCTAGCACTTTGGGAGGCCAAGGCAGGAGGATCATTTAAGGTCAGGAGTTCAAGACCATCCTGAGCAAGAGTGAGACCCTGTCTCTACAATAAATGGAAAAATTAGCCAGGCATAGTGGTACCCACCTGTAGTGCCAGCTACTTGGGAGGCTGAAGCAGGAGGATTGCTTGAGTCCAAGAGTTTGAGGTTACAGTCAGCTATGATGACACCACTGCGCTCTAGCCAAGGAGAGAGAGAAAGACCCTGTCTCAAAAAATAAATAAATAAAAAAAGACAAAAGAAAAGAAAAGAAAAGACATGACAGGTATAGATATTGCTCTCTCGACTATATGAGGATACAATGAGTAGATGGCTGTCTGCAAACCCTCACCAGACACCAGATCTGGTGACACCTGGATCTTGAACTTCCTAGCCTCCAGAGCTGTGAGAAGTAAATATTTATTTAAACTACCAGACTATGGCAATTTGTTAGAGCACCCTGAACTGACTAAGACAGCTGACCAATAAAAATTATAATGTAACAGTAATATTCAGCCCATCCACTGATATGTATAATTTTGCTTTTTTTCTCTGAAGTCAGATCATCAGAAAGGTGTGTCCTGAGACACAGTTTTAGTTTGCCTTCTGTGGTTTCAGTTACTCACAGTCAACCACGATCCTAAAATAGTAAATGGAAAATTCCAGAAATGTATTAATACATGGTTGATCCTGTCAGAAAAAAACCTTCCAGAAATACATAATTCATAAGTTTTAAATTGAGCATTGAGCACTATTTTGAGTAGTTTGATGAAATCTCACACCATCCTACTCTGTCCTGCCCGGGACATGAATCATCCCTTTTTCCAGTGTATCCACACTCTACACACTATCTGCCCATTAGTCACTTAGTAGTGGCTTCAGTTATCAGGTCAATTGTCTCGGTATCACAGTGCTTGTGTTCAAGTGATCTTCATTGTACTTCATAATGGCTCCAACCACATCAGTAGTGATGGTGGCAATTTGGAAATGCTAAAAAGAAGCTGTAAAGTACTTTAAGTGAAAAGGTGAAAGTTCTTGACTTAATAAAAGAAAAAATAGTATGTTGAGGTTGCTAAGATCTACAGTAAGAACAAATCTTTTAGCCATGAAATTATGAAGAAGAAAAAAGAAATGTGTACACAGTGTACAGAGAGTTTGGTACTCTCTGTATGGGCACAGACATCCACTGGGGGTCTTGGAACATATCCCCAGCAGATAAGGGAGGACTACTGTACTAGGAATGATGGGGTCACTATAAATGACATTGTTCTCTATTATTAGACTGACTATACAGTTTATACTAGTTGTCACAGCATAATTATGAACAGAGCCCCTATGTACTAATTCACATTAAGATCTATCAAAAACACTTTGAAAACTCCATCCCAGAATGTCTTTACTACAGAGGAATTGTCACATTGTCCTTATGACAATTAAATGTAAATCATGTAACTGCTTGTATTTATTTCAGTGTGTATTTGCCACAAAGAACACAAATTTGTAGCTTAATTTTAATAAATGACTGCAGGACAGTCCTCTAGGTGGCCTTGGACCGATGGAGTTCTCCCTCTTGTCTCCCTTACAGTTCCCAAGAGTAACTGTATTAAGTGCTGGGAATGCAACATCCTGAGGTAGGGAGTGACTGGCCAGAACAGCTGAGGCTCTGTTCCAGTTGCCCCTAGAAATGAGATGTCCTTCAGTGTTCAAGCCCAGCATGTCACATTGCCCTGGGGTATAAAACCCAGGGTGGGTTGCTTTTCAGGGTCCCTCAGCTGTGGGGCAAGTGGGGTGTGCACAGATGAGATTCCTTGTTTCCCCAGCAGCTTTCCTGAGTCTCAGGGAGTAGCTCGCAATGATTCCTAAGGCTTCCGTTGTCCCTTGCTGCCTATCTGCAAGTATCATAATAAACTCACTCCATGTAACTTGTGTGTGTGGGTGTTGTGTCTCACCAAACTTAGACAAGTTGGTAATCGGTGCGCAGTGAACCTGCTTCACAACTATGTTACTAAGCTTCATTCAATATTGCATCAGTATTTATAATCCACTCATGTTCTGTTGTTGAATGTGTCCACACTACCTATAGTTTCCCTGATCCTATTAAAGATTTATGTGTTCATTTTACTATTCAGATTATTATAAACCTAGTAAGTACAATGGTAAAAGGAAGCAGTAACTAAGCAAACAAACAAACAAACAAATAAATATTTAGCAGAGACTAGGTTTTTTTGGTTCTGTTTTGGAAAGAAAAGCAATCTACAAAGTCAGAGCTGGGAAGTGAGAAGGTACAGGTGAAAGGGCACCTTGCAGAATCTGGAATCAGCAGGGAGCTGCCTCCCTCTCCCCTAGGCTGTGGGGCTGGACCCTCCACACCCCCCTCCATCAGCCAAGTCACATTTTCCGCTGAAGCCCACGGGGCTCTGGATGTGGTGAGCCATGTGTGCTCACTCTCAGTGGAGAATCCTGATCTGTTTCTGGGGCAGCAAGTCCGGAATCTACCGCTTCCCGTGACTTACCTGTCCCTGCCCTGAGGCCCTGGGGACAGGTCAGGGGTATCTCCTCTCTGAATGAATTCCTGGCCCTGGGGTCCTCTCTGTCCTCACCTCACATGAACTGCCATGTCCCTCTGCCGGGGCTGAGGACCATGGGGGAGAGTCCCCATTAGCTGCCATGTCCACACTGGGCCTCAGGCCTCAGGCTCTCCTGCTGACAGCTCCACTCGTCCCAGGGGTTGAAGCTGGGCTGGCATCTGCGGACTCAACCAGAGCTGCTGGGGTGAAGCAAGTTGGGGTCGGAAGGAAGATCTTGTAGTTCCCACTAAGCGGTCTGGCCCCCAGACTCTGCAGAGGCTCCAAGAAACCCTGGAAAGACAGTGTCCACAAGGTCAGTCCCTCCACGTTCACCCGCAAACGCTTCCTGGGGGCGCCAAGGGGCAGCTTGCTGTCCTGGATGTTGTGGAATAAAGTTCAGAAAAAAACTAACTCTAGTTAATTGTCATCATGGAATGGGGGAAAGATAGTAAAATCTGGACTAAAGTGAATGAAGGTTTGTATCTCAGTTCTCTCACAGTTTAGGTGGGAGAATATGAAGAAGCTACTTTTGAATCCAGCTTCCAAAACAAGGATGAATATGCCTACCTTAAGGGATAATGACAAGTACATGAGATGATACTAAGTGTAAGCATTGAATAAATATTAGAAATTACTGTTATTATAAGGGACCATGGATGGTACAAAGGCACATATCAAGCACCTCACTTTATTTTCACAACAACCCTTACAATTAGATGTTACTATTATTATTCTACTCAATTTACAGATAAGAAAACAGAGGCTTAAACCTTTTAAATAGTGTGCACACAGGTCACAAAGTTAGCAAATAGAACAGGATTCAACCCAGATCTGGTATTTCTAACTTTCACACTCTCAACCACTCTCTACTCTCACAGTCTCAACCACATTCACATCCTATAAATGTTCGGCTCCTAATGAATATTACTTCTGCTTCTTGTTATTGTCAAAGAGCTCAGATTATGGGGCTACCATGTTGCATGTGCATAAACTGAACTCCTGGACATTTCCATGTACATCCAAGGCAGCCAGTGTGTAGGGCAGAGGAATTTGTAGGACAGAGGAAGGGCAGAGGAATTCTTCCAATTGTCGGGAATTTACTTGGGTGGGGCAGTGAGCTAACCGCAAACCTTTGCTTCTGGTCATTGCTTGCTTGCTACACCGCTGTAGGGGGAATTATGGCATGAGGTCATTGAAGCACGGGCGACTGGCCCATCAGGCAATAGAGGGAAACCAACCCGCCAATTATTTCAAAAGGCAATAGTGGGCAACCAATCATTTTAAAGGTCAACGCATGATCCATGCATAGTCAGCTTGTGCGCAGCTTGTGCACCATGGGGATAAAAGGCATGCCGTTGTTCTGGTCGGGGTCCTTGCCTGCGAGAGTGGCCACTGCGTTGGTGCTCTGGGGCTTGGACCCTGGCTAGCCAGAAAAGAAACCTCCTCTTGTGTGATTGCATCCTCAATGTCTCTGCTTTTCTGTCCGGTGGGGCTGTGGAAGGTCGGTCCCTAACAAGTGGCCCACCTTCTTCTGAAGAAGATAAAAGAAGTCAGATTCACCCTTCCTAACTTCTCCCTGGACATGAAAACAAGCACATCTGCATCAAATGCCCACTCCCTAACAATCCCTGATCGACTCTAGCCTATTGATAATTGGTTGCCACAGGCCCCAGGTCTTGGAGACCATATCACTGTCACCTCTGGCTAACAGCAGAAGCCATTAATGATTGATTGAACCACATCAAATGCAGGAAGCTACTGAAAAATTCAAACGTTGACTCTTAACGCAAACAGATTGCAAATTACTTTTTGGAGAGGGTAGTTATCTGGCTTCCAAAGGCCCTCAAATAATCCCCATTATAGGCATCTCAATAACACCCCCCACAATAGGAATCCAATCATTGATCTTCCCAGAGAGCCAATTATTTTTCATTACAGTATCTAAAACTGACCCATGGAAAGGCCAAACACTGGCATTCCAGGCCCAAATTAACTGCCTCTACATGGTCACAATTCCTGATACCCACAGAACTCAAATCACTGATCCCAAGTGTTTTCAAAATATGACCCCCAAAGGTCTCCAATTCCCAAAGCTCCCAGGCTCCCAGTTACTCAATGACTACATCAGACTTTCAATCATTAACTTGCAGAAGATTGAATCACTGACTCCTACAATTAATGATTCCTGCAGAGACACAATGACTTTCTCAACATATGTCCAAGTATTATTTGCTAAGAGCTCGCCCAAATGCATGTTCACTGTGAACAAATGAGCAACTCCAGCAGGACTTCCCATCACTGATACCATTAGGACTGAAATCAGTGGTCCCTAACCCTGCTGGCACATCAGAATCACCCAGGATATTCTAAAAATGTTTATGCAGGGTTCTTCTCCTGAACAACAGTAACAGAATACATGTGGGCCCAGGCATCTGTATGTGTGAAAACTTCACAGGAGATTCTGATTTGAAGTGAGCATTGAGAATTACTGATCCTCCCCGACAGGCGTCCTCCTAGCATCAGACTTTTAATTTACAACAATGGAAGGCAGAGTCATTTAACCTCAGCAGATCATAGAGGAAAAGGATCATAATGTAAGAATCCTACATCCCTCCCAAAGATACCATTTCTCAGCCAGGGCAAAGAATGACAGTTTTCAACATGAAATAATATGAAAAATGTTCCATCAATTTACCATAATTGAGGAAAACATTCAAGAAGGACAAGTTCTTAAAAAAGGAAGATTGAATGAGAAGTGAAATCAGAAAATAAAAGAGCAAAACAATGGGTGAGTACACAGATACAGACAGACAGATAGACCGACAGACAGACACACACTCACCCCACATCATGAGCTTTTTGAAGAAAACAGGAAGCATATGTATGTATGTGTTTCTGTATAATCATAACAGATGAAAATTTGGGAAGCTGAAAGAAAAAAGTGAGGGCTCTTGTGAACTAAAATAAAATCTTAAGTCCCCCCCAGCTGACTGAATGTACCCCCTCTTGGCCAACGGGACCCCAAAAATACCCTAAAGCTGAGTTGCTGGCCATGAGAAGGGAGGTCAGACATGCCCAGTCATGCCCCTTTCCCTTCTTTTAGATATCCTTTGTAACTCATTAACAGGCCTAAGGCTATGCAAGGCAAAGCTTAAACCACAGCTGCAGGTCCTTAATTTATTTAACAGATCACTTGAGTCTGGGTATATGGCAGGTGGCTCGTCTCTGATTAGCAGACTTCCTTATCTTAATTTAAAACCCTCCAAGCCTTTAGACAAAGCTTCATTTCTTTAATCAATTACAAATCAAAAAGTCTTTAAACCTACCTATAACCTGTAATTCCCCCCAAATTCCCTCCCCACTTTGAGATGTCCCACCTTTTTGGGCCAAACCAATGTACTCCTTCCATGTACTGATTTATGACTTTACGTGTAATTCCTGTCTCCCCGAAATGTATAAAACCAAACTGTAACCCAACAACAGCATGTCCACTTGCTCAAGGTTTCTCTGGAGTGGCTCCAGGCCATGGTCCTCAAACCTGGCTCAGAATAAACCTCTTTAAATTATTTTACAGAGTTTGGGTTATTTTCTGTTGACACCCTTTAGACCAAGCGTCCTCAAACTACAGCCTGAGGGCCACATGTCTCCCGCCCAGGACATTTATCCAGCCTGCAGGGTGTTTTTGCCACAGCTGCCTGTCCTGCTTAGTAGCCGACTCATCCTGGGCCCACAGTGCGCACTCTCCAATAGTCTGTGACAGTGAACTGGCCCCCTGTTTAAAAAGTTTGAGGACCCCTGCTTTAGACAGATAACCTAAGGAAAACATTAATTGCCTCTAATTAAACTTTTAAATTATCTTTGAAAAGTCCCGAGATTATCTTTGGATTTTAATAACCATTTTGATTATTTAAAATAAATTATTATACTATACAAAAATTAACAGTTTAGGATTTTTTTTCCCTAGGCAAAAACTTGGCTATGGCAACACAATGTACACATAACCATCTAGCAAGTCAAGAGTGGACAAGACCAAGGGAAGACTAAAGCTTACAATTTAAGCCCTTGTAACTACAATTTCTAGGTCATCTTTGAATCCCTAACAGTAATGTTAATTTCAGATGATAGAAAGTTTGAGTTAGAAACATGTTTCACGTGTACCTTTCCACAGACATTGAAATCAGTGGAAGAAACTATCTATCTGCAGCTGGGATTAAAAGACCAAAACCAAAATATTTTCAAAAACCTTTGACCATAAGTTTCTGGTTTTGTGCTCTATTTACTTGATGTTTTATTTATTCTAATTTACTGACACTTATTTTTTGTTTAGGTATGTCTACATTTTTACCTAATTAAGAAACTTAAAGTTAAACACACAGGTATTTTTGTTGATGACTCAGGAGATGTGGCTATTATCATTAGACTGACAATATTAAAGTTTACCTTACTTATCAAAAACCATACAAACACAGATCACTTTGTCTTTGGCTGGGTTTACAGTTTTATAACCTTTGTGTCAAACCCTGACACCTTAACAACATAAAAATATCCCGTAAAACCCAGGCAAAAATGTGTGCTGACAATTTGAAAACATTTTTATTCTTACTTTACCAGTAATGCTTTTTTTAAGCAACCCAACTTATTAACCAGACTACTAAATTCACGTGAACTAGAAAAGCACTTGGGTTTGTCTAATTAATTTATGAGTACTCCCTTATTTATAAGCCAGTCTGGAACTATGTAGGCACAAACATATAATACATGGACACAGACAAAACATATCTAAACATATACACTTACACATGTACACAAAATTTCAATAGATTTCACTTCAGAACTCTAGCCACCAGATAGTGAAACCACTCTGTACAAATTAATAAAGGGGTGCAAGGTGAGAACTGTGGCAGGGGCCTAAAACTCTGCAAAGGCATAGACATAGCTAAAAACAATGATAATAACCAGCCACTAACCAGCCACTGTCCCCTTGTTTGCTTTCCTATAATTGCTACTCAGGAGTCACATAGCTGATGGTCATAAAGATTCTTAACTTTCCCCATAGATAACATCATCCTTGTGAAACCTAAGGGTAGTGTTTGAGATATCTTCCAGAACCTGCATTCCGGTGGAAAGGCTGACCCACCCAGACCAGTGGCCCATACCAAGAACGGACTCAATTGGTATTGTGACCCCCACCCAAGAACTGACTCAGCAAAGAAGGCAATTTCTACACCCCCGTGGTTCTGCCCAGAACCCAGTCAATTTGCAGACCCAAGTGCCTAGCCTTTTGCCTGCCAAATTGTCTTTAAAAACCCTTTCTCCTAAATTACCAGGGAGTTGGATTTCAGAAACTTCTCCCATCTCCTCACATGGCACTGCAATA